CCCACATAAATCAGAAACTCAGGTTCAGGCCTAGCCCGAAGCGCGGCCAGGCCAGAAATTTAGATGCACCGGGTGTCCCCGAAGTAATTTCCCCGCGAAGAGAGTGAGAGGTCTGCGGAATTGGAAATTAGGACGAGGGGGGACGCTTATCCCGTTTGCCCGCATCCCGCGTTTCGGACGATAATTTTAACGCGCTCTCCCGTCGCCGCTCGTAAATCAGCCGTTGGGTTAGGCACACCCGATAGAATCGCATTAGCAGCGGCGATACTGCTAATTTTTTTCTTACGTATCTCGCTATTTGCGTGCGCCAGCGATCGCTGGCTGCATGCTAATTAGCAATCCGCCGTTTTAATCCCTTTGATAGTAACAATTTATTTTATCTAAATAGCTCTTGCAGCTATTCGGAATATGATTAAGAATTGTCGTAAAGGATTGAGAGAAAATCTCATTGCAGTATCGTTTGTGAATTGATGTAATCGTTGCTCCAGTTGAAAATCGTGTTATGCTAAAGTGAGAGTTGGCACGCTTCTGCACGCGGTATCTTTATTTTCTTTGTAATGCAGAATGGGATTATTCGTCGAACATGTCTAACCATTCTCACATTTCGTTCCGTTTTCCGCGCAATTTCGCTCTCATCCGCGTTTTATGCCCGGCATTCCGTAATTTTATTCTAACCACAGATCGCGATATCGAGAGATGTTCGATACTCGACGGTAATCTCTATCTCGATTTCACGCGGCGTTGATCGGCGAACGAGAGAAAGAGCGTCGCGAATTTAACACCGTAATAAAAGAGAAGTAGCTCTTTGAAGCGTGTCGAAAGACACTTCCACGTGATGGTCGACGATGCGCTCAATCGAGTCGATATTTGCAAATTCTAATAACTGTAGATTAGCAAACAGTCGATCTTTTTTTTATTCATAAGAAAAGTTATCTCAACATTTTCTATAAATTTCTTTTCTCATTTTTTTTTCAATAAAATTAATTAAATCGATCAGCAAGAAAAAGGTAAGAAAGAATAAATTATTTGATTCGAAAGAAAATTTTAGTATTCTCTGAATTAATATATTATTTCCTAATGCTCGGGCGATATCTCGTTGCAGACGAGTTCCGCGAACGCGCAACATCTCCGAAAGATAAATACATTCGCAGAATAAATTCCATATGGAAAGAAAATGACAGACGCATTTTGCCATATTGCACCGCCGCGTTCTCGCTGCCCATCCTCTCTCGAACGCGGATACCGTTACATTATCGTCGGTATTGCCAATAAATGCAATTGTCTCGGCTCGTGACTTCGTTGCCCCAACGTTAATTCCTACCGAAGTACATACCTACCGGAAACAATCTTTATTTTCTCTTGTGATCATCATTGTGGCGCCGCAATGGAACTTCGATCAAGCTCGCGCCGAGAATCGACCAAGACTGCATTTTTATTCGAGAATTTCTTCAGCTTTAGTAATAAATTCTTCAGTAATTAGTGATATTAAGAGAGATTATCTTTATCAGAAATGTTATTTTGTGACACTCAGTCTGAAAATCAGATAAGATATCGATATTTATCTACAATTTTCACTATCTATTATTTTATCGTTTATCTGCGTGTTAAAAATAAAATGAATGTCTGCGATAATATCTGCAAAATCTCCAAACTCTAGATTTTTATTTAATTATTTTAAAAAGATACATGTTCGTCATACTGTACGCTGTTCACCGGTCTCGTTCTCTGAACCTCGCAGCCGCTGTAAAGTTAAACACCCATCGATGTCTACACGACTGCATCCATAATACTTGTGATGTATCTAGGCAAAAACTCGGTCATTTAATGCCCTCACTTGCGAGCGACTCAGCAAGTATGATTAAGAGCGAACCTCCGCAAGACTAGCATTATCCGACAGGATATTCTTGGAAAAGAGCAGACAGAATCGAAAGGGGGTAGGCTCGACTTTTTCATCGCCGCGTGCACTACTTTCGATTTCGACCGGCGGCTCACGCGCGCGCGTACGCGCGCGCGCGCGCGCGCGCGAGCACTCATCGGCGGACGTGAGAAAAAGGGAAGGAGAGAAAAAATAAAAACGCGGACGACCCGGAAGGCCATCTCATCTTCCGCGAATTTGCCGGGCCACTGACTCCTCCGTCCATTGCATAACGTCGGTGGACGACGTCGCGGCGAATGAGAGCCACTGAATATCGTGGTGTACCGGTTGTTCCACTCGTGGAATGCGGACCGACGCGTTGTGTGCGTGTCCCTGTCCCTGTGTGCGTGCTGTACTGTGCACACACACACACACACACACGCGCGCGCAGTACTGCAAACGATTCCTGCGGCGCTCGCGCCCGAATTACCCATCTGAATCTCATGCAAGTGTCTTTTATTTAGCCCATTAAGATCTTATTTGTCGCGTTATGTCTTTTTTTTGTCGGAAAATTTTGTTATGAATCAATTATTTTTAGCGATAAATGCTTTTCCCCGTACTAGATAATTTCATTTTCTCGTCACGTGTGCGTTGCAATTAGAAATATAGACGTAAAGCCTACAGCATTATTACGTCGCTGATATGAGCGAAAGCGACAGCCGCGTGTGCAATAAGTGTGGCATCTTTCATGCGTGTGCGCCGTACATATTGTTATTATTATTGTTTACAAGCGGTGATACATCTCTGCGCGTTGCGCGACGCCCGATACGTTCGCGCTAAGAAAGCATTGTTTGCATTTCATTTTCTATGCGTCTTTGCGTAACTGCAATATTGCAGTCACTGTCATGCACGCGGGTCGCCAGCCGCGAGGCAGTCTTTAGTTCCTAACAACAGAAACACGCCACATCGGCAATGACACGAGCAAAAACGTCAAGGCGAATTTCTCAACGAAGAAACAGGAATGATTAATAAAAGTTCAATTCAACGTCACGAAAATGAGAAAAGGATATAACGAAGTGTCTCGGAGGCATTTCCATAGAATTCCGCACAATTCCGATCTCCTTGCGTGCATCATGAGCCCGACAACCGGTCTCCGATTACGGCCGCACAGAACGACGCTTCTATTATCTCGTTCGTAGCGCTCGCGTGAATTTTCCTGCACGCATTAATCAGCGGTAATGTCGCAATTCATCTTATGACTAGGATTTTTCTTTCCGATCGATCGCGCCGCTCGGGTATTCTCTTAATAGACACATTAACTTTGTGTCGGTAATCGACGATGGAAATTAAATCTTATGTTCCACTTATAAATCACCCGGGGAACGTGTCCTCGGGCGCTAAAATAAAGGACGCGATTATTCATCCGATCGGGCTCGGGCAAGAAGTATTGACTGCCCGCAGTTAATCGATGAGTCGCGCATGGAGCACTCGCGAACGCGTCCCGCAAGCTTTAATTGATTCGCTCGAATTATCACGTCCAGCAGCGTCATCTTGGTAAAAAGTGTAGCGTATTTTTTTCCACTTGACGGAGAAATCTTCACGTTTTTTTATAATCGAAAGTATTAGGAATCTTAATCATTGATTTAAAGATTTTTATAATGTACTAAAATTGAAACAAGATTCGTATTCTTTTTATAATCTTGTTATTAAATTTTTTTATCATTATGTATAACGTGCTTTGCTTATTTTTCATTCACTTGCGGGATTTTAATCCGGAACTTCTGTTTTTTTTTTAATACAATTTTGTCATCCGGTTTTTCCGCTAGTAATCTACAAGCTGCTTTCGTGTCATCGGAATCGTCAGATTTCGATCATGGCTCAAAAATTATTTTCTCTACAATAATTTCTATGTGAAACGGTGAACGGTGGAATGACGGTATTACTTGTCCGTAGCCGCTTACAAACAATCGGAGGAAGTCGTATCTCATAAATATTACGGCAGTGAGGCCAGACAGTCGGTTGCGGCCACTGTATGCAAATTCGACTGTTACATCGTTCTGCTGCCCCTCGTTTTGCCTTTGCGTTCGAGCACCCGGTATGAGCAGCCCTGTATTGTATTACTGTCCAAGATCTTAGATTTCCAAATTTTTCTTCATTTTTTTTTTCCTTGAATGTTGATTTGTTGAATCAAAGATCGAAACAAAATGTACAAAATAAATTGAACTCTAAAGAAACGAATAGTTTCACCAGGTGCGCGAGTGTGAAGCGACGTAAAACGATAGATTTAAATAATTTCGGTTCGCCATAGAAATGAAATTTCCAAGTAGCTAAATAAAAGAATAAGCAATGCGTTCGATGCAGCTTGCGATTTTTGACTCGCGATTATCTTAAATTTACGATTTCTTCGACGTGCGAAAGATAAAAGAAATTTAATTGGCACATTCAGACGAGAGCTTTCGTCGTCAACGGTTTCTCAATATCTTTGAATCTTGTTACGATTTTTATTTCCAAATATATTCCGCTTAATTAAATAAATATACGCAAATTAAATCACTTTTGCACTTTTGCACCTGTCGACATTTAAGGCAGCTGCACTTTGCAGCTTTTAGATATAAAATTCTAAATCTCTAATCCTTGTGACCCTTAAAATTGTTGATTTCTCAAGTTACAGCGACGAAGAACCGACGGAGCTTTCGTAACTAATATAATAAATGTCACGATAAAATATGTTCGGTCGTTAAATATATAAATAGTGTATAAGTGTATTATCAATACACGTGTGCGCGTCGAACTGTAAAAGTATCTAAGGAATTATTCATCGCCGACGTTTTTCGTATATAATCACTACGTGATAGTCAGATTTCAGATAAATAATATACGATCCCGCTTATCTCCACCACGTTCACGTGACCCCCATAATTGCGTTATTCGTCAAAGTTCTCGGTTACAATCTTCATTGCGCGTTTCTACTTATATACACCATTCTGCGCGTTTCATTATCAAATTGTTGATACATTATTAATTCATTACGTTACGAATAAAGATTTATTTTACACTTAGAATAGAGGAGTCTGTATAATGTGCAACAAAAATATATATTCTGCAACCGGATCTTTTTTATCTGACACATTTGTTCCTTTCGCAGCATCCACGCGAGACACGCGGTAGCGGCGCAACGGACGCGCGGCCGAAGAAGCGGAACTACCCGTTGACGATGGCGGCGGGAACGTGCCAATTGGCCTGAGGGGACAGTATCCGCAGAAATCCGCAAGGTGAGTCCTTCCTCTCTGGTTTCCCTGCACTTAGACCCGTTCGAGCTCCGACCCGCTCGCGTCGTCATTAAGATTTCAAGAGATATGGAAAATAAATTAAGCGGATAAGCGGACGGAAACCGGTGGGCCGAGCTCCGAGATAAATCGAATGGCGGAAGACGAAGGCCTACGAGAGATAAAGCACGAAGGGAGGGGAGAGGGCAAGCTACGTTTTTCAGGACTGTCCGGTGAGCTAGTCTCGCCTTCCAGCCGATAAATTCTAACAGCGAACGATAAGTCCGGCAATGCCATTTCTGCAAAGGCAGCATTCCATTTTCGCAATTTCGATATAAGCCGACGGAGCTTTCTCCGACTTCTTCGCGAGCAACTTTGGAGCTCTTGATGTGTTGTCAATCTCGTGCGATCCAACTTTATAGAAATGGCAATACTGCTTCAGTGAGGACGTGCGGAGGAATGGAGAGAAAGAGAAAAAGCACGCTCCGGCTTTCGCGATTAAGATGTGCGACGAGGCGCCCATGAATTTCGCCCCGATACATATCTAATCCGGCATTGTCGCCGTCGATAATCTCGCCCTTTTTTGCAAGACGCGCGCCGGCCGCGCCGAATGGAGACGTTAATCTTCAAGCACTCGTGCAGAAAAAGATGCAGAGATATGTGCGTTAACGACGACTATCTTCTTCCCAGGCGGATTTAATATTAAATCTCCTCGCGAATCTTAGGGATTTAACAATTTTTTTCCTACCTTCGTGTTTTGCGCGTTCTTTCATTCCTATAAAAAAAAATACAAATGAGGAAAGAACGACTCGGAGCAAATTTACTCGACGTGAATTGTATTTAAAGATTCTAGCTGCTAATCTAGCGGAGCTTCGTATAATGACCGATCATTATATTATTATCAGAGTTCTCGAATAATAATAACTCTTACATTTACTTTTAAATCTGCGCGAGTGCGTTTAATGAAGATATAAAAAAATATGTTATTTCCATAATGACAGCGATTAGCGAATCCCGCTAAACTGCATTGAAATCGTAAAAATCGAGAAAAAAATTTTCCGCCCAAGTATATCGCGAAACTGCGGATTTATTAAATGCACGGGACGTTAATCAAACATGAATAACTGAATAATAACTGATCATTGAGTATCTTAACATTCGTGCACGAAATGAGTGATTACGTCGGAGCAGTCCTTTATTGGATTCGCGCGAAACACAAGTGAAGCTGATAATTGCAGATTTTAATTAAACGAGGCAATGTTTTTCTTCAATATGCTTTGGGAATTGAATATCAAATAAAAATTCAACGCCAGCTGTCGTATTTAAAAAAGCGTACGATATTAATGCAAATATACGCGTAATACATTTAAATATAAATATAATTTAAATGAAAATTATTTTTCCTGCGTTTGTAAAGTTGAATTATACCGACTCGGGCACACTTTCGCGAAATATAATTAACTACATCTTCCTGTGTTAATTTAAAACCGATTTATTTGAACGTTAAATTATGTAGATGAGCGGCAGAATGTTTCATTATATATTTTCCAAGCAACTGAGAATTACTGTTATCAATTAATATCGAGAAGGGCAAACTGAATCATGCGCACACGTGTCATCCACCTGTTTGAATGCGTCTGAGTTCTATGTAATCCTACCAACACGATAAAAAGATTTCAAAAAAATCTCACGGTTCTTCGACCATCGACCACTGTAACCTTCCACGATATGTGCATAGGTCTCGTTTATCGCGAGGCCGTAACTTATGCGTCACCCGTTATCTGGGCGCGCTTATTATGCATGTTATCGTCTCCCCCTTCGACGAAGGGAGAGCCATAAATTTAATAGTCCCTAGTGTGCGGAGGAGGCTTCCTTCGGCATGAAAATCTCCGAATCGACCCTCCGACTCAATTTCTGACTTTCTCGATCTTCTTTTCTTACTCTTCACACGCCAATATCTTTTAAATTTATATTACACATGATGTATCTTCGTATTCATCGGTACAATTTTCCGAAAATTGTTACATATTGACAATAAAAAAAGATTCGAGGGAATAAAAGATGTTTGAGCCAATAGATTCTTCTACAAGATAGTTAATTTTTCGAACTGTACCTATTATTATATAAAAATGGAAGATCTGTTAAACACGAAATTATTCGGAATATTGCCTTCGATTTTATTCGCGGCGTTTCTTTCTTCTGACCGATATTTTCGACTGTTGCGAAATATCTCATCCAGAATTAATTTAATTGCACATCGAACAACTCGTTCGCTTTTTGTCAAAATTATTGTTCGCGATGAAAATTATGTTTCACGATAAATGGACAAACTGACGATAATTTTGAGCGAACGATATATGTGACAGCTCGTCGGCAAAACTATCATGGCCCATTATTTGCATCGCGGAGCAGTCCAGCCTGACAGTGGAAAATTTCGCCTCGATCTCATACTGCGGAAAGGAAAACAGATAAATTACATCGCGAACTGCGACGGCGGCGGCGTTGTGTTTACGCGAAACAAGAGAAAGAAATAAGAAGTCGACCGAGGAATCGAATCGCCTATAGCGATAACTGCCGATGTCGGGCAACGGGCTCTACGTCATCTGTCAGATCGTCTTATCATCGGATTTCTCGGCTGTTGTGTGCGGCGGATTTTTCACGCCTCACGCATTTCCGGTTCGGTGATCGCGATTTCCCAACCTTTTATTGCCGTTTTATTTGACGCGATTCGCCCTAATTCGATCAAGTAAACTGTCAAGATATCTTCAAACACTCATAATGCATATACGTATGTATGTATTAGCATAATGATTCAATTTATTTGTATACAGAATGTTTCGGGATATTCTGTCAGCTGTTGATTTTTTGAGATTTTATAAACCTATTAATAGCATTCTTTAATTTTTGCGTCAAAAATCAAGTCGCAGCATGTGAAAAAGTCGCTGGAATCAAACCGATCGAACAGTTTTGAACATTTCGACAAAGCAGAAACATTCTGTATAGCAAAATAAGACACCAGTAAAAACGAAGCTTGTCTTTTTGCGAGTCACGTATTGCATGTCGTAAATCGATGCTGATTGACCAATAAAACCGTGGTGGCCGCACCGATTGGCTGGCGTCGCCCACGTGTACTGATAATAGACACATGCGTTTTTCTAATTACCTGCACTCACATCGCTCTAATCGTTCGTTATGAGCCTGAATTCGCTCAGTTTCTCTCGTCGTTTTTCTTTTCGTCTCTGAAATGAATGGCAAAAACGATTTGTTAATTAAACTAATAGTGCGATTTTCAATTAAACTAATGAATTAGTGAAATTATGTCACGAGTAATTAATTGCGTAAATAAATGAATGATCGTAGAGTTACAAAATATTTTTAGCCTGTACAGCTGGTTTGACTGCGCGACTCTTCAAAAAATTGATGCGCTATGCCAGTTATATATTCATTCTTTCAGTCGCTCGAATGAATCAGTTGCGAAGATCAGGAACATTCTTCCTTTTTCGAGGAATGCAAGTAGTCAATAAAATGACGCAGGAGAGACAGGGGTCCATTGATGCTGGGCATGTGCCCATCGACGAAAAAGTGAATTTGCCGGATCGATGCCAGGTCGGACGGATAAAGGCATTATTGTCGATTGTCCTTTCACAGTAGACCGGCGGTTATTGCGTCGGATAAAAACCGCAACGAGCGATTTCCGCCCATTGAACAGGCGAACAGACGCCAGGTTTCGCAGTAGAGCGCGAGCAAGTTTCCGAACACTTTGTCGTCAATCGACTTAGACGTGTTTGAAGTAAATCGCGTATGGTTTCAGTAATTTATCATTGTTATTATCGTATTTAAGATGGATCATTAATCCGCTGATTTTTATTAGGAAAAAATTGACTTCAAATAACAGAGAAACATTTCGTAGCATAAATTTTAGTTATGTTAACGCGCAACAATGGACATTAATATTTTTAACACCTCCAGAATATAAAAAAAGCCTAGAATATATTTCTTACCATTAATTCTTCGTAGTTTTAAAATGACCTACATTTCGAAATGAGACATTATGAAGAAAAAAAAATGGTTTCTCATTCTGAGAAAATTTTAATTATACATACATCTATACTTTATGTTTCCTGGGAAATAATCGGAAGCTTGTTAATGCAAAACGAACATTTCACATGTAAGAAACGACTGAATAGAATGTCTCCATCGGGTGGCATTTTTGCATGACGGCCTTTAAATGGCGACGATGACTAGAATCGGGTCGCAGCGGCCGTACGTCGTCTCGTGTCCAGTCACCGCACACGCGCGCTTAGTGATTAATTAACCGGCTTAATTAGACGCCTAATTACCACCAGATACGGATCTCCATCGGGATAATCAGGCTCGGGGACCGAGACGACGTATACGTATTATATACGGTATAGTGATGCCCGATACGGGCTCTCGGTTACATCCATCCGCGGTTACAGCCTCGTGTTTCGAGACACCGGAGAGGATGCCATTTTAACGCGCATTAGAATTTCCGCAACGTCCTCATGCGCGGCCATCATTCACGATCCTAATGAACGTAAAATTTCTGCACGACGAGCACGCTTCCCTCGTGAAGATAGCATGCGCGTTAAACTAAATCGCACTTTAATCAGAGTGATGTTTTTCAATATAAGCCTTTATCGATAAACGTATTCTCGATTTTTGTGTTTTAATGATCGATTAAATGTCCCCAAATTCTCGGACTTTATTAATCCCGTTGCTCCATTCGATTGTATACACGCTACTGCTTAGTATAAAGAAGACCCTCTCGTCGCAACGAACTCTGCTCCATCTTCGAGGTCGTCGGCGGAATCGCCGGCTATTGGAATACCGACACCGCGTGAAAGACGCGATTCTCGGGTAGAGAGAAGCACCCGTTAATGGCCACGGTCCTTTTGCACGCTTAAATAAATAACAGCGGCGTGATCGCGCGAGCGTAATTACGTCCGTGTACGTATACGCGTACGGGCGATGCGTGTCGTGCGTGCATGCCTGTGTACGTGCCTGGCATGCATTCTGCTGGTGATCGACGCGCGAGAGAGAAGCAGAGAGAAGAAGAAGAAATGGATAAGAGCGTTTTCTGGTATGTCCGGGTCTGCGAAATTACAGTCTGAAAGAGACGGGAATCGCGGATAAATCGACGTTTGACCGCTGACAGTCGAAGGATCGCTCGCGTTTACGCCTCTCGCGTGTATCGCGCGCTTCGTAACTGATAGATACACATGCATGCGCGTGTGTGTATGCGTGCACGCGCCGATGGGCGAGTGAATGTGCAATACAACAATTTAAAAGTCGTTTACGACGTGATCTGAGCTTTGAACAGTCGAATCATTATCACAAATTTTTAACGCGAAGAACATTGAGGTTGGAATTTTTCATGAAAAATATTTGGATTGATAATAATTAAGCATTGATAAATGTCTACCTTTTACTTTTGAAAAAACTGTACATTTCCGAAGCTCGATGGAAAATAATCGATTCCACGAAAATATTCAATCGGACGATTGGCACGAATCAGCTAAATAATAAAATATGGATTGTTACATTATTTTTATCCGTTAATGATTAAACGAGTTGTCATAGTTGACAGCTTTTTTTATATTAATAAATTCATTATTAATCGCTTACGATAGAATTCACTGAATTAAAAAGCCGTGAAAGAGTGCGCGAGCGAAAAAAAAAACGAAAGTTTCCGCCGAATGAATTAGTTCTCCACTAACCGCTGATCGATCCGTGCGAAAGCATCGGTGAATTACCAGCGGGTGCGCTAACTTATCCTCGCACATCCACCCGCTTTCGATAGCGATGCATTATGAAATAGCGTGCAGCAACAAAGTTGCGCGGCGCTGCACCGCCATTACCGCTAATTCCTTAAGTGAGCGATGCCTCGCTCGAACGAGAGAGCTTTTTCGTTGATCTTTTTGGCGAGCCTCCCTTCTCGAAGAAACCGGCCCTCGCTTGAACGATACGCGGTTATTAGAGGTCGATCCGCTCTCTCGATTCACCGCTCTCCCGCCCTCCCCCTTCCCGCCCCGAGCCGACCGCCCGCTGCCGATTTATTCGGATTCCGCCCCGGTTTTAATTCTTTCGTCCCCCCCCCTCCGCGCTCGATCGCAGGAGTAACCTCAGTCGGTCGCAATTAATTTGCGCGAACGCGCACCACCTCGATCTATTTCTCGTCGAAACGCTTCGCCTTCATTTCTGTCGTTCTAATTGGGCCCCCGCTCTCGGCATATCTTTGCGAATATCGATTTATCTCTCTCTCTCTGTTCGATAAGCGAAATCAATTTTCATTTTCTTTACGATAAGACACGATAAAAGAGTTCCCCCTTTAATTATTAAGAAACGTCAGGATAATGTTATCGTCAAATTGATCAAAACTGTGTTCTCTTCTGCTATTCTGCGATCCAGAAAAGTCGCGAGGAGCAATCCCGAAGGATTCTCGGGATTCCATCGGTGATCGATACTGAATACTCTGCGTATCTCGAGCCCCGCCGCCGTGGCCTCTTAGAAAGACCAATAATTAAGGTAATGGCTACTTTTCAAGTGGATTTCCGTGTGGCTCGATCTGAGCGGCCTCCTCCCGGCCGGCCGATTACGGTCACGAAGGGCCCCGCCGTTTTTGCCTCCCCCCTCTCGCTCTCGGGTTCTCCCCTGTCCTCGTCTCGCCTTCTTTGTATCCCGGCCGGGAATCGCTTCCTCCCGCCCAGCCTCTTTGTCCACCCCCTTCAATAATTGCATATGTTCATCGCTGATTTTCGATCGATATCATCGTAATTTCATCCGCCCTTCTGTCGCGCCGGTTTCTTTTTTTTTTTTTCTTGAACGACGATTGGCGACCAAATCAGACGCGAGGGAAATAATTTATGCGAAAAAATTTAAAGAGAATTTAAAATGATATCGAATATGAATACATCTCTCTCTCTCTCTGCTTCGATAAAATAAGTAAGATTAAATATATCTTCAGAACAAGTACATACAGTATTTTTAATAATTTGATTGTATTGTCTTGCTGATATTTTTTTCTAATGTAGATTTTAAAAAATGAGGCAAAATAAAATAAAAATTGCTTCATTTTATTTATTTATAAGTAAAATATTTAATTGTAAATGTATAAATTATGATCTAAATATATATTAACTACCAAAAAATATTAATTACAGTTATATTAGTTATCGACGATTATTTGCACGTCTCGATATCAAGCAATTCCAAATGTAGCCAGTACGTTTATCACTTGAAAACATATGTACCTCCCTTTTAATTATTTACACTCAATTTGAATTCTGATAAAATTGTGCGATATTTTAGCAAGTTCGCGATAGAGAAAGAGCGAATTATAAAGGCAGATAGTAAATTGTTTTTGCAAAGTGAGATAAGGTTGCTTTCAGGCTAAGAATAATTGCCGCTTGTATCAGAAACCCGATAAAATTTCCCAGCTGAATGAGAAACCGGGAGGAACGAAATTCGATAACGGGGCTCGCGCGCTGGCCGATATATTTGTTGTAAGCTCATCACGAAATCGGTGTTTACGCGATTCCTTTTCCGCCGCGAAGTCGATTTATCGAGTCCGATAGCGCTCGGAGCTATTGAGCTGTCTTAACGGAACTGTATATCCTGATTCAAGGCACCGCTGTCCTTATCGCTGTTCCAGATACTCGCGAGAAGATATTTATGTCCGACGCTATCTCAATGACTTTCTCGCTTTTTGTATCGCCCTCGTTTTACGCGCACATGTATGTATTATCTTTCGATGGCGCGAAGTAAAAACCCGTCGCGTTAAATCAGTCGAGACATTCAAAAATAAGCTCTCGTCGGAGAGCGCAATATTTTGCTTTCCGTTTTCCGCGATGATCTTTTATCCTCAAGGCGATTAATCTCTTACGAATATAATTAATAGCGGAAAATTAAGAATCGCACAAAGGAAAGAAACATTATGGAATTTTATTTTTTAAATTTTGCGAAACGCAACGAAGTGGAAATATATTCCGAGATTCCCTTTACGATTATCTTGTATAATAAACTGTACGAAAAGTAACAGAAATTTCAACGGACGCTTAACGAAGGAAATCATACACTCAAAAAAATGATCTTGCAATAATAGCTAAAATTTTCTAGGTGTAAAAAATTAACTAAAACAGATAAATAATTAGCAACTGTTGTGATATTGCATATGTAATTACTTAATCAGTTTAGATGACAGAAACAGAATATATAT